AACTGGATCATGTCTCACTGCATGGACTGCTGTAAAAGATTCTTATTGTTACAAAAATATGTAATGTTTGTATTTGTCCTTTGCCAAATAACTGACACACCCTATAATCATTGTTGCCACAGGTAGAAGAATCATTGGATGACGCAGTGTGGACCTCAGAGAGAATGAGAAGCATCTGTAATAATATATAAGGTGACAGAGAAACATACAGAGGCACTATTACCTTGCATTATCTCATTCTGCGTAGAAGAAGCTGAATTCTTTAATGGCTTAGCAGCTTAACAACCATGACTGTGGTAAGTCTGTCAACATACCGAAGTGATGTACATGGGTCTGTAGTAACAGTAATACTGGATAGGAGATGTCTATTTAGCCTTTACATAACCATACATGGAATGCATTAAACAGTGTTTATTTGCTGCAATAGTTAGCATGACCAGCTAATTATCTTACTGCCTAGTAATTATTAATAGATTACTACTACTGACGTAACATGTTACATGTTACATGTTACGTAACTGCATAACTAATTACTAACTGGTTGTGAGGTTAAAGGTTATGTAAAACAAAGCCCTGATCATGATAAGCACATCTGCTGTGTCATATTTCCTCACTGTGTAGAAGCTGTTCCTGGGCGCTATCAGAGTTTGGGCTAATGTTAGCAGCTCTGTTCCTCTATTTATTGCATTTGGGAAATTTACACCCCAGCCAGTGTTACAAGAGGTAACGATGCATTCATGTGGTGTCGGACTAATCATAAAAATGATTTCCCGATTGGAAAAATTCATCTGAGTGCCCCCTGAAGTTGGAACAACATTTTTTTCTAACGTGTCATTTGTAATATGGTCTTAGTTTGCTGTCCATGTAGAGTGGTCTAGATTAATTAAGAAAGTTATTTATTAGCTGTACAAGCAATATTGTAGTGGTTTCAGGTAATATACTGGTGCGGTAACAACTCTAGGTCAAAAATCACTTCGTAATAGAAAGCTTCTAACTGTTTCAGCATACTTGAATGACAATAACAATGACAATCCAACATTGTAGTACCATCCATGTTGTTTCCACATTCTGACTTAAAAGCACATGAACACACTGAAATCGGAAGAATGACTTCACAACTCAGGAAATGGGACCATCGGAGAAGCACGTGAATGCAGTGTAAGTTAGGGTTACATTTGCTAAACTCGTTAGTCCTCATTCTTAGAGCATTTTCTCTTGTAATGTTAAGTATGTAAGCTAAGCAGCCAAACAGGGTGAGTTAAAATAAACAGTCTTACATTTTTCCTTATCATATTTACAATAAAAAGACTAATTAACTCTGCTGGAATCATTAAAAAGTCAATGTTTCTACCCAACTCAAGCAGCTTACATTAGCTTAATTGCCTAGCTCATAAATCTATCTGGTAGCTGGCTAAAAAGTAGAGGCTGCTTTTGTCTACCTGTCTGAAATTAAGCAAGCAAAACATTACCCCTTGTTTCAAAAATGCATCAAGAATTTCAAGTGGTCTAACCATAGACTGTATCTACTACTGTTTTCTTTGTAATGTGCCAGGCTAGAACAGAAAGCTTGTAGGAACAGTAACTAATAGGGACAGGGCTTAGCTAACTATCAACAGATCAGAACCTCCAACATTTCATCTCTAAATCATCAGAGGTTAATGGAATTTACGGAAAACATTCAAGAAATGGAGAATATGACAGGAAAGGGGACTTCCCAAACATGTGAAACAGATGCTTCTGTTTCTTTCTATCTCTTTTGCCCCATCTGTTTCTAAAACTTCTCAAGAACTCCACCAAATCAACGAAGGCAAGTAAAATATTTTTGACAAGATGGATGAAGTTGTATACCTCCCGGCACGGCTCAGGAAACTATGTGTCAACTTGAATGAACATTATGTCCTCAAAAAGAGAAATAAAACGGGTTAGTAATTTATTTAGAATTTTTTCCACTGTTGGAGCAGAGGAAAGAATCTAGTTCCTTCAATTGGCCTCAATAATGAGCTGGATGAAAATCAATACACCCCATCTTATTCAGTGCACATGTTTGGGCTATAATTAGCTTATAAAAAATACTAACTTCTGTAGTGGTTTATATGGCTCAGAACACACAATCTGCGTCTTAGAAACAGTAAAATACACATATTAAAAAAAACAGTTTAAAGCTGAAACAGATAAATATTTCTTCAGAATGTTCATTATTTTGCCAAGTACTTTATCTCCCTCTTTTCTTTGCCCACCAAAAGGGCCTTGGTGGTTGTAAGTGGTTATAATTGTACATATGGTAGCAGTTAGAGCTGCGTAATTGGCACCACCAAGGTTTCTGCCGCTGAAGGAGAGCAGCAACATGTTCCAGGAGCAGCTTGAACCCAGCTCAGTTCTCTCACTTCATCTCCTGGATAGAAACAAAAGAGCTGTTTGATTCAAAGGAACCCCGACCTTTGGTCTTTGTGGGAAGGAGTATAGACGAGAGACGTGGAAGTCACCAGCTTTCCCTCATATCTTCACTTTATTGATTTATTTTTTGAATTCTTGGATGTTGTTGAGTGAGCGTGGGGATAAAAGGGACAGGGAGACGGCAGGGATGTGGAGTGTAAGCTTGAGATAGAGAGACAAGGGATGAAAACACCCCCAGAGATGACTGATGACAATAGCAAGGTGGATTCAAGACCTGCCTTCCACAAAGATCTCTCCCACACCTCTAATGATGATGATGTGTCATGTGGCCCCTTTCTCCCATTTGGTTAAATAGGTATTTCCAATGTGACACTTTCCCTCAGGTGAAAAACAGAATTATTTATTATTATATTATTATTATTTTCTGTCTCCCAATGGTAGGAAAGCACCAAGAGTGTTTGAACAGCTGAGTCTAAGATATACACAGTCTTTAACAGGCTTTGTTTCATCTTTTCCAGTCTCCAGTCATTTTTTACAACTTTTTCTGATGAGAACTCCTCAATATTAACCCAAGGAAAATGACTTCAGGAGGATGAAATAGATAGACCTCCTATGTAGTGCAAATGTCATCAACCCCAACAGAGCCATTACTATATGGGGTATTTCATGCCATTTCTCATCCCAGATGAGTCCCTGGGTTTTCGGCTGGAGTAAAATGAGGTTATGTGTGATGCCAGCTCCTACCAAGTCCTCATGAGGCACAACACCATGCAAACCAAAATCACACACCAGCACATAGCAACAAACGAATTCCAGACACCAACGCAAGTGGTTGAAACATAGAAATATGTAATATACATACAGCAGACTCAGTACTGGTGGAGTGTTTTCACAAGCCAACACTTTTTATATTTCACCATGACATAGTCATGAACATATGAAGTATGAAGTAAAATGTGTAACTATAATCACAGTAATCTACCTCTTCTGTTGTTTGCCTAATAACCTTGAATTTCCAGTAAATAGACATGGTTAGCCTTAGGCCCCATCCACACTACTGCGTTTTTTAATTAAAACGGAGACCTTTTGCTACGTTTGCACCTCCCGTCCAGACTACAACGATGAAAGAAGTTTGGAAACGCGGCCGACCCCGTTTTGCGTTTCAGAACTTCAGAAACGATGACGCAGCCTTGTAGGCTACTGTGCAAGTCGCTGTTTACTTTGCAACAACTTCCAGTCTGTTTTCTGACACCACACCCCCGTGTTACATTCAGTAACAGTCCCAGCTCGTTATTGATCCATGAAACAACAAAAAAACTGGTCTGATGCTTAATCTGTATTTATTTATTTATTCGCCAAATCTTCTGTAACAACGGAATAGACCATCTGTTTCATGTTTACACTGGCACGCGCATACCCAGTGCACATGAACGGATCCTAGCTGTGCGTTTTCAGTTGTTTTAATGTAGACGGAGATCAACTCCAATACGCAGCAGAAACGCTGGTGTGGACGGAGTTCGTATTTGTTTTAATTCTCCATTTGTAAACTAAAACGGAGTAGTGTGGATGGGGCCTTAGTGGTGTCCAATTTACTCAAGTACAAGTTTGAGACACTGGTACTTGAGTATTTTCAATTTGTGCTACTTTATACTTTTTCACTGCATTTCAGGGGGAAGTAAGTCTTCTAAGTTACTCCACTACATAGTGGAGTACATACATATACTGGTTAATTTTCAAATACAGTGTTTGGCTTGTGACCCCTTACAAATGTGTAAAGATGGGCCCCATGTCACATTTTAGATGACTTTAGGTTGTCAGCAGGTCCAAAAAAGAGAGGTTTGTCCTCTAAATTACCTTAAACTGCTTCAATAAATGTTTGAGGCCCACAGAGGTCAAACTCTCTCATATTTAACAAAAAGAAAGAAAAAGATAAGAGAATATTTCAAACATTAATACAGATTTATCTTGTGACTTCTGGAGGCGGCCCAACCCTAAGGTTGGGAACCACTGGACTCAACTACCAAACTCTATAAAGTAGTTAAACTAGCTACATCTCGACTACAAAAGTTAACTGGTACTTACACATTGCATGAGCATTAATGATGTAATGCATAATAATATATTAATCACAGGGGCAATTTTATATAACAAAAGTAGTACATTTAACAAAAACAAAACTGTGCTTTTACTGAAAGTATCCTAGGTCGGTTAAAATGAGGAGGATCTGATTTTAACCCTTGGATAACTATGACCTGGATGACTGAGAATTTTCACAGACATTTTACTGAAATAGGATTATGAATGCAGGACAGGTAATAAAGTACATGTTTTGGTCTTGCTACTTTTACTTAAGTAAAGTATCTGAGTACTTCTTCCACTACTAGCCTACTTGCACCTAGCTGGTGCTCCAGAACATAAAATGCTGTGATCAACTAATCATGATTCAGCTGGGTTGGAATGTAATTATAAGAGCATTATGAGGTGCTGAGAGCAGCAAGAACAAGACATGCAAGGGAGAACAGCCCAGACTCTCCTTGCCACCAGGTTACTTTACATATCTGCAACCCAAGCAGCTCTACCCTCCCACCACCCCTCTGGCTCCTTACTGTGGTAATGGCCAGGAGCAGTCACAGTCTCCTTGGCACAGCCCATCTGTTGTTTTTGTTTTTCAGACGAGGGGAGTGGGTTGATGGGTGGGCTGGTGTTGGCCTGGGTGAGGAATGAGAAAATGATGGGAGGCTCAAGCCACAAATTATTGCTGGTCTGTTATTACAGTAAGATGAACATTGCCAACGGTTAAATGGCCAAACAGTCTGAGACAATGGTCATCTCTAAATAAAGCCTCTGCCTACTGACGCAGTTGGTCAGCCACTTTGGGCTTGTTGAGAAGGATGAAGCAGAGGTGGCAATTTGTAGCTTGGCTGTGCCCACCGCAGAGTCACACAGAAATCTAAAGCAAATTGAAATTTATATCACAGTCAAAAATGTCTGCCTTTCAGAATCAGAAACATTCTATTACATACTTAACCTGGATGGTAGGGTGGCGCAGTGGCCATCATTGGCTGGTCCTTTTTGTGCAGAGTTTTTGTGTTAACCACGTTTGTGTGGATTTCCTTAAAGAGGTGCATGTTAGGTTAATATTCCTGCCGGGACCCTGTGCACTGGAATTCGTAGTGAATACACTGGAGAATGGCTGAACACCTCCTAAATAAGATAGGATTTAATGATTATAAAAGAAATGTTCTCACTTACCTCAGTGGCATCTAGCCATTTACCTTTAAATTACATTTAAAAGAACAGTTTGAAATGTTAGAAAATGTGCCTGTTCACTTTCCTTTTAAGCGTAGGGAGCTGGAGACAAGACATGGTTAGCCTACAATAGGATAAAGACTGGAATCAGGAGGAAGTAGCTAGCTCTGTCCAGAGAATAAAAACAACTACAAACACCTGTAAAGCTTACTAATTATTACACATCAAATGTGGGAGTTATATCGTAGAGCTATTACTAAGCAAACAACACTGACTCTCTCTGAGGTTACTGATTTTGGTACCTGAATCAGCACCTATATGACTGTGACAACCTGCACAACATATGGATGCTTCATAGAGGTACTGGATTGACAGTTGAGATATACTGTACATCTAAATGAACAAGCTATTTTGTACATACTATCCAAAAAAAACCCCACAATTTATGTCACGAGAGCTATAAAATCAGTACGCAGTAACTTTTACACTTTTCACATTTGACAGGCTACAGCATATGCTACATAGAGTGAGCAGTGAAAGACTTGTTGATGAAATCTCATACTGTACCTTTCCTCTCAGAGTTTTATATTCAGGTCCTTCCAGCCATCGATACCGGTGTAAAAATTAACTTTCTCCTCTCAATGATCCCAAGACAAGCTGGCTTTTGTTTGCAATGTAAGCAGCCCACAGGTTACCAACTTGCTCTCTCTGTCTCATACACAGAGTCGCTGCTAAAGCCAGCCATTGTTCCAGGCAAAGATAATACTATCTGTCCTTGACGGGGGGAGTTACAGTTGGATTGGCACCAGCTGTTAAAGCTGCCATACTTTATGGAGCTGATTAGATTACAAAATTACACCCGAACTCATCTGACATTAATTATTGGACCATAATACGTAGCTAACCTAGCGCTATGCTTTACAAACCAGAACTATAAACAAATTGCATGGTGCCCCCCTGCAGTTCAACATGTCCAGAGTTTAGGGAGACATTTAAATCTGCTGTCATAGCGTCCAGAGAATTGATGGTTAATGTGCTGTAGAGACTTTAATAGGGGCTTCAGAAAGCTTAATCAGTTTCCCAATCACAATTCCCTAAGGAAAAGAGAATGTTTTCCATTGTTGGCTATTGCTGCTAGACCACCATCTGAGATTCATGTGAGTGTGTTTGTGTGTGTGTGTGTAGGATCTAGCTAATACTGTTGAGAGCTTGCGTTTCTTAGTGAACTGTGCCCATGTTTAAATGTAACACTTTCCACTTTTCCTCTTAATATCATGGTTGTAGATTTTCGTCTTGTTTACATGTACAGGAAATAGATCATTAACTTTAGCAAAATATAATGCAATAAAATTAAATACTCACTTTGTAAATCTTATAATGGATCATTTTTTTGTAAGCAGTGTTGATTCAAGTCTTCAGTAACTATTAAAGGATTATGCTGGCAATATTCTAGACTTTATTGGCATTTTATTCTTTTCTGTCTGTGAAGCCTTTGCCAAAGCCAGGCATAGGAGATTATTCCTTTGTGCCTGAGTAAATCCCACATACACATCCTTCTACTGTAAACACTCACTAGCCCACTATGTGTATTTATCCACAGCATGAAACTATATATCTGTGACCTGTTTTGAAAGTTTTAGATCGTCAGTGGAAACTAATGGGCCTGGGGCCAAATGCCACATCTGGAAATCGAACCAATGGATTGTTGACGTTTATACTATACATACTATACTGTTATACTAACAGAAACACCCCTTCAGCTGATAACATACAGGGCCTTGACACTGATAATCCAAGCATGCCACAAATGATGAAACAAGGATGAAACCACGACCTGAGTGAAAAATCAGATGACCAACAGTCATTTCATGCATTCTGCCTAGTATGACTAACTCAAAAAGGGCAACTTTAAAACCAACCAACGCACTGCCATCTGTCATAAACAAGAATGCATGATGACAACGGCCCTCTTCATCTGTAAAATTATATGTGCTATCACTCTAATTATTGCCCACACATATGTTGTCACTGCCTGCAAAATCCCCATGTAGAACAGACAAAGGGCAGCAGACTGAAGCAACTGTGAGAGAGAGGGAAGATGTAGGTAGTGACAGATTTACTGAGTGAGAGCAGTGGGGTCCAAGATTTACGGCAGGTCTGCTGCCTTCAAGGCAAAGACACCTCCGGAGCCTTCCTGGCTCGTTCCTATTAAGATTAATAATGCTAGTATTTACAAGGCCCAGATCTCCCCTCGAGGAGGTAAAGAGTAGTGAATAAGTGTGTGCGAGGAAATGGGAGTGAGAAAACAGTGTGCCTCAGTGAGTCGCCACAGCAGCTCTTTGTGATGCTGTCGTTTTAAACTTTCTTACTAGCTAAGACTACAAGTTATATTTCAATTAAATGTTCTAAAGTTGAAGTTATTTAACTGCTTATATTTGGTTTGTAGTACAACCCCAGCACTGATAAATGGAAATTATTTGTTCTTTAAATTAATAGTTTGACATTCTGGGAAATTTGCTTATTTGCTTTCTTGCTGAGGGTTCAATAAGAAAATCAATACCACTCCCACATCTGCCCGGTAAATATAAGGCTACAGCCCAACAGCCACCGATTAGCTCAGCAAAAGACTAGGAAAAGGTTAGCCTGTCACTGTAATAAGGTAACAAAATCTGCTTACTAGCACTTCTAAAGCTCACTAGTTAACATGTTATATCTTGTTTGTTTAATCTGTACAAAAAAGTGCTGGGGTTATGTGCGGGACTATTACTTCTGGCAAAGAAGAAGTTCTGAGCTAAGCTAACATGCTGTTGGCTATCTCCTTATATTTAACGGACATATTGGAGTGTTACCAATCTTCTCGTCTACCTCTCGGCAAGAAAGTGAATAAAGCCCCCTTTACTCTGGACAAAAACCCACCGACACCCACTAACATCTGGCTTTTGTCTTCGGTGTAAGGGTAAAATCGGCATTCACTCTCGGGTGACATGTTCAGCAGTGATGTATAAATGGCACTGGGTGGACACGCACATTTTTTCCCCTCTTCCAGCACAACTCTTTCACCTGTTTCTATGTGCTGATGTCTATAAATGTTTCTTATGTAGTATTAGCATGCTAGGCAACAGTCTGTCAGCTGTGACGTCTTTCAGACCACTCAAACACTGTAAACACACTTTTTTTTAAATACAGTTTATGGGTTACACACAGCAACCACTATAACTTGCCGCCATCCCTTTCTACTATTTACTAACCCTGTTTAACGGCTCGTTTTTGACATCATTGAACGCAACACATTAGATAAAAAACAGAAAAGGCAAACTCTTCTACTGGCATTGTGAACAGAGTTTTAGCAGGTTTAACCACTTTTAAAAAACTGCATACAGTATATGCACTGAGTATTTGTGTCAAACTATGCCTATAATTCTGTACAAACACATTTTTAGGAGGACATGTGAAATTTAAGTACAAACTCAGAACATGCAAAAAAGGTTCTATCTTCAATAAATACAGTGGTTTTATTTACACCATGTAAACACTTTAACAGCAATGATTAGACCTCTGTTAATCTGTTAATAGTTCATATTGCGATTATAAAATTGATACACACTATATGAAACTGTAATTAAAAAAAAACCTACTACATGTATATGATTAAAACAAATGAAGGCATCAGAGTCAGACACTCTTTGTGAATTTCATTTTTTTTGTTGACTTGTAAGGTTAAATGTCCTTCACAATCCACATGGTCACATTTCGTCTTACTACTGACTTTCAGATTGAAACTTTCTTCTCTTCCTCGCTCTCCAGCGGAGCACACTCACAATCACTTGGCTCTAAAAGGCTGAGATTCACCTGTACTGCAACCAGTTTTTGCACCCTGCCAGCTGAGAGAGAACCCTGCACCTTTTTTGCACCTGTATGGCACAAGCTCGACCGGAGGCGCTCGCAAGCACCTGTTGTTGGTGGGATCTGAAGTATAGCAGCAGCCACAGCGGACAGCGGCTCAGAGGAACACAGCCCTTTCCACCAGGTGGATGCGGACACGTGCTGGCATGAGCTCCATATCCCGGCCCCCTTCCATAGTCCCTGCTTGGCTGAGAATCTGGCGAAGCTGCCGAGCACTTTACCCTCGTCAAGATTTAAATGGTGAGACAGCTTAGATATCACATAGTAAGCACTGTTTATCTGCTCCCCGGAGAGTGTCTGCTGGCCAACGTACTTTGGATCCAGCATGTAAGCTGCTGCGTGGATGGGCTTCACGCAAAACTCCTGACACCTGTCTAATGATGCCATGACAGCTCTCTGTTCAGCGCTATGCAGCACAGACCCAGACAGCGAAGTTCCAATGTGGTATTTTAACTGACTGAACATGTCAACAACACCCGAAAGTACAGTATCTTCTCTTTTCATGTAATCGATATAATTCCCAATCAAGTAGAGCAGGTTTCGACAGCTGCTTAACCCTTTCCAAAATGCTGCATCCTGTACTGTGGCCCTGACGGATGCTTCAACATCCAGTGTGGGGGAGACGGCCATCTCTTGTAGAGTGTTCTGAGCCTCCAGGAGGCTGTTAAACATGTTAACCACAACAGTCCAGTCGGCGCTAACAGGCAGTGCCAATGTTGTCCCATTAGCTGTGCGGTTTCTTATCTTTGTAGTCTGCCAGCATTTAAAGGTCCTTGCTAATATTTTTTGCTCTCTAACATACCTCACCACCTGCTCAGCTCTGCTGCACAGAGCCTTCACAGATGGCTGTGCAACCGTGTCATCAAAGAGCTGCTGGATACCACACGCTGTGCAGCCAATAGCTGATATGTGTGGGAACGCTTCCTCTACTTGAGCCCAATCTGCCGTCACTTCCGGGGCGTCATCAGTGACAACAGCAAAGACCTTTTGTGGACCCACTTCATTTATAATATCTTTCAGTTCCTCAGCCATAAACATGCTTGGGTGTGTCTGCTCCCCTGTCTTTGTACATTTGTAAAACAGTGGCACAGGGGTTGCAACCACATAAATGATTGTCCCAGTTTCTTTTATGTCAGACCAGCCACTGCAGATGATGGTGACACAGTCTGCTTTCCCTATAGCATCATGAACCTCGCTTTGTACTCGGTCATACTCACAGTCCAAGAGATGAGAGGACAAAGCCTCTCTGGTAGGCGGACAGTAAGCAGGTCGAAGCACGCTGAAAAATCGTTTCCAGTAAATATTGTCTGTGAGAGTGAGGGGTGAGGAAGTGGCATAGACAGCTCTTGCCAGGCACTCGTCAGCATACGCCTGGCTGCGCTGATCCACTGAATCAATGAGGAACTGTCCCCCAGGAGTGGCAGATGGTAAGAACGAGAAGGAGGGAACGGGAATGGAGGCAGAGGAGCTCCCATCTGGGCCCGGTGACTGCTGCGAAACCACGGAGTACTCCTTGCATTTGTCCAAATGCATCTGCATCTTGGTAGCATTTTTTGTGTATGTTTTTGAACAGTAGTTGCAGATGAAGGTCTCCCTCCCATCTTTGATAGCCGGAGTGAAATGCTTCCAAACACCGGACTGCAAGCGTGGCATCGTCCTATATAAGTAAAATGAAGAAAAGTATTATATTAGTTATTTATTAAATTGAATAGTGAATTCTGAATTTATTAAAGGTTAGCCTCTTGAGATACATCATCTCATTTTCAAGAGGGTCCTGGTAGAACTCCTCTTGTGTGTCTAAAAATGTCTCAGCTTGGGGTGTTTTTAACAACACCAAAGCTAATATGGTCCTGAAGGATAATTTTGGCATTTTAAAAAAATAGCGAGGATTTTTTTGTATGCTATTAAGGATGCAACTACATTTTATTTTCATAATCAGATCATATGCTGTTTATATCCTGAAAATAATGACATTATTGTAAACTTCCACTACTAATACTACTTTCTAAAGCCCAAG